CACCATTGGTTGTTGGTATGTCTTTTCCTGGCTTTGGTATCAGGATGATACTGGCTTTGTAGAATGTGTTAGGGAGAATTTCCTCCTCTTCAATCTTATGGAATGTGGAATCGGTTTCTATTTCTAACTCCTTTCCCCAGTTGCATGTTTTTGTCTGCTTTGTCAAAGATCAGGTAGTTGTAGGTATTTGGGTTTCTTTCTGGATTCTCTGTTCTGTTCCATTGGTCCATGTGTCTGCTCTTATACCAGTACCATGCTGTTTTGGTTGCTACAGCCTTGTAGTGTTGTTTGAAGTCAGGTAATGTGATTCCCCCAGCTTTGTTCTTTTTGCTTAGGATTTCTTTGGCTATTTGGACCATTTTAACCATGTGGATTCTTCCAATCCATGAGCATGGGATGTTTCTCTTTTTTTGTCTCCTTTGCATTCTCTTTCATCGGTATTTTATAGCTCTCTTTGTAGAGATTTTTCACCTCCTTGGTTAGATATGTTCCTAGGAATTCTAGCTTTTTGACTACTGTTGTAAATAGAATTATGTTCTTTGCCAGGCTTGGTGGCTCAGCCTGTAATCCCGCGCCTTTGGGAGGCTGAGGTGAGTGGATGGCCTGAGCCCGCGGGTTCGAGACCTGCCTGGACAGTGAGACCTCATCTCTACAATAAACCAAAAAATCAGCCGGGCGTGGTAGCGCATGCCTGTAGTTCCTGCTACTTGGAAGGCTGAGGCAGAAGGAACACCAGAGCCCAGCAGGTTGAGGCTGCGGTGGCCGGAAGCAGGCACTGCACTCCAGTCTGGGCGACCGAGTGAGACTCCAACTCAAAAATAAAAAAGAATTCTGTTCTTGACTTGATTCTCAGTGTGGTCACTATTGGTGTATAGCCACTGATTTGTGTGTGTTGGTTTTGTATCCTGAACTTTACTGAATGCATTTATCAAGTCCAGGAGTCTTTTGGAAGAGTCTTTAGGATTCTCTAGGTAAAGATTATATAGTTGAGCCGGGCTCGGTGGCTCAGCCTGTAATCCCGCGCCTTTGGGAGGCTGAGGTGAGTGGATTGCCTGAGCCCACAGGTTCAAGACCTGCCTGGGCAGCGAGACCTCATCTCTACATTAAATCAAAAAATCAACCAGGCGTGGTAGCGCATGCCTGAAAGGCTGAGGCGGAAGGATCGCTGGAGCCCAGCAGGTCGAGGTTGCGGTGGCTGGGAGCAGCCACTGCACTCCAGTCTGGGTGACAGAGTGAGACTCCAACTCAAAAAAAAAAAAAAAAAAAAGATTATATAGTTGGCATACAGCGATAGTTTGATTTCTCCTTTCTAGTTTGGATACCCTTTATTTTTTTCTCATGTCTAATTGTTCTGGCTAGGACTTCCAGTATTATACTAAATAGAAGTGATAAAAGTGGGCATGCTTGCCTTCTTCTAGTTCTGAGTGAGAATGTGTTCAACTTTTCTCCATTCAGGATGACATTGGCTATAGATTTGTCATAGGACTTTTGTTCTTTTGAGGAATGTTCCTTCTGTGCCTATTTTTCTGAGGGTTTTTATCTTGAAAGGATGCTGGATTTTATCAAATGTGTTTTCTATTTCTATTGAAATGATCGTATGATTTTTGCTTTTAATGCCATTTATGTGGTGAATCACATTTATTGACTTGTGTATGTTGAACCATCTTTGCCTCCTTGGGATAACACCCACTTGATTGTGGTGAATTATTTTTTTATTTGCTGTGGAATTTGTTTTGCTGTTTTGTTGAGGATTTCACATCTATGTTCATCAGGGATGTTGCTCTGTAGTTTTTTTGTTGTTATTGCATCTTTTCCTGGCTTTGGATGATACTGGTTTCATAGAATTAGTTAGGGAGAATTCCCTCCTCTTCAGTCTTATGGAATATGGAATAGCTTCAATAAAGTTGGTATCAGTTCTTCTTTGAAAGTCTGGTGGAATTCAGCTGTGAGTCTTTCAGGCTCAGCCGTTTTGGGGCTGGGGGAGTTTGTAATTACTGTTTCAGCCTCACTACTTGTTATTGGTCTGTTCAGGGTTTCTATTTCTAACTGATTTATGGTTGAGAGATTGTATCTTTCCAGGAATTTATTCATTTCTTCTCAATTGTGTGTAGTATGTTTGTGTAGAGGTGCTCATAACAATGTCAGATGAAATTTTGCCTTTCCGTTATATCAATTATAATATCTCCATTTTTATTTCTGATTGAGCTCATTTGAATCTTCTCTTTGTTTCTCAATTAATCTAGCAAGTTATCAATTTTATCTTCAAAGAATCAACTTCTTGTTCCTTTGATTCTTTGTATTTGTTTTTTATTTCAATTTCTTTTAGTTCTGCTCTGATCTTTATAATTTATTTTCCTCTGCTAGTTTCAGGTTTGATTTGTTCATGTTTTTCTGGTTACTTTAGGTGTGACACTAGGTTGTCAGTAGGCAATCTTTCAGTCTTATTAGTGTAGGCTTTAAGCACTATAAATATACATTTTTCTCTGATCACAGCTTTGGCTGTGTCTCAGATGTTTTGATGACTTGTTTCATTTTTGGCATTCATTTTGAGGAATTTTTGAATTCCCATCTTGATGTCATTGTTGACCCAAGGATCATTCAGGAGCAGATTGTTTAACATCCTTGATTTTGCTTGGTTTTGAGAATTCTTCTTTAGAATTAATTTCTAGTTTTATTCAACTGTGGTCCGATTTTGATTTTTTGATATGATTTTTGATATTTTAAAATTTAACGAAACTTGACTTGTAGCCTCTCATGTGGTCTATCTTGGAGACTGTTTCATGTGCTGATGAGAAAAACGTATATTCTGTAGTTTTGGGGTGAGATGTTCTGCGGTTGTTTGTTTGTTCCATTTGCTCTAGGGTCCACTCAGTGCTTCTTTGTTGACTTTTTGCCTTGATGATCTGTCTATTGCTGTCAGTTGAGTGTTGAAATCTCCCGCTATTATTGTATTGCTGTCTACCTCTGTTTTATAGGTCTAGTAGAATTTGTTTGATAAAGCTAGGGTCTCTGGTGCTAGGTGCCTATATGTTTAAAATAGTTATGTCTTCTCACTGAATTGATCCCTTTATTATTATATAATAGCCATCTTGGTGGTCTTTTTTTTAACTGTTGTTAATTTAAAGTCTGTCATCATGCTGACTGTTATTGGTTGCTTTATTTATTTTCTGTATTGTGTTGGTGGTTCATAAACCCTGTAAGTGCTATGACTTCCAGCGTTTCTCTACTGATGTATTTCATCCTTTTGTTTCAGTATATAGAGCTCCTTTGCGTATTTCTTGTAGAGCTGGTCTAGTGCTGACAAATTCTCTCAGAATTTGCTTGTCTGAGAAAGACTTCATTTCTCCTTCATTTATGAATCTTATTTTTTAGGGTTACAAAATCCTTGGGTGAAGTCTGTGTGACAAGATTGAAGTTGGGACCCAATCCCTTCTGGCTTGTAGGGTTTCTTCTGAGAAGTTTGCTGTTAGTCTGATAGATTTACCTTTGTAAGTTGTTGATGCTTTTGCCTCATTGCTTTTAAAATTCTTTGCTTCACATTCATTTTATATAATCTGATAATTATATCGCGTCAGGATGACTTTCTTGCAGTGAATCTTCTGGGAATTCTTGGACTTTCTTGTATCTGAATGCTTAAATCTCTGGCAAGGCCAGGAAAATTTTCCTCCATTATCCCCTCAAATAAGTTTTCAGAACCTGTTGTTTTTTCTTCTTTCTCAGGAACACTTACTATTCTTACGTTTGGATGTTTTACATAAGCCCACATTTCTTGGATACTTTATATTATTCTCTTGACTCTTTTTTCTTTATTGTTGACTAACTGGGTTAATGTGAAATCCTTGTCTTTTAAGTTCTGAGATCCTTTCTTCTACTTGTTCTAGTCTACTGTTAAAACTTTCTACTGCTTTTTGTACTTCCCTTAATGATTCTTCCATTTTCAGAATTTCAACTTGGGTTTTGTTTTGTTTTGTTTTTTCTGTGATAAACCTTGAAGAACTTTTCATTCACATCCTGAGTAGTGTTTTTAATTTATTTATGTTGGTTTTCAACTTTCTCTTGAATCTCCTTGAGTGATTTTATCACCGGTCTTTTGAATTCTATCTCTGAAATTTCGAAGATTTCATTTTGGTTGGGGTCCGTTGCGGAAGAGTTAGTTTTGGTTGGGGTCCGTTACTGAAGACTTAGTGGAGAATCTGTTTTTTCATATTGTCAGAATTATTTTTCTGGTTCCTTTTCATTGGATAGATTATTTGTAATTATTTGAGGTTGGCAGGGGGCTGGCATAGGCACTGTAGACGTTCCTCGGTTATATAGAGCCTTGCTGTGGTGAGTTTCTCAATTGCCAGCTATGCGGTCCTGGGCCGGGTACCTGCATAGGCTCAAGGCGTCCCTAGTGGGCCAGGGTGGCTTGGAGAGTGGTCTTACCTGAGGTCTGGGATCAGATCTTCCCAAAGCTGAGGTATTATATCAGATGTGATGGGCTGTGCTATTGACCTCCAGCCAAGAAGTGGTGCTTGTGGGAGAGAGGCTGCTGCGATGGTGGCTGTGGGTTTTCTGTTTGGTGTGTGTTGCTCCAAGGATGTGCCCGGCCAACCTAGGTTGTGGGCAGGGCTGTGGGGATTACCCAAGTTTTCCATCTGTTTTTGTTTTTGTTTGTTTTGCGTTGGAGTCTCCCTCTGTCACCAAGGCTGGAGTTCTGTGGCACACTCAGGGCCACCCCAGTGTCGACCTGCTGGGCTCTGGCGATCCTTGTGCCTCAGCCTTCCAAGTAGCCAGAACTACAGGCGCGCGCTACCACGCCCGGCTAATTTTTGATTTATTGACCCACCTTGCCAGGGTGGGTCTCAAACCCGCGGGCTCAGGCAATCCACTCGCCTCGGCCTCCCAAGGCGCTGGGATTACAGGCTGAACCACCGAGCCCGGCCGAGGTATCAAATTTTTAAAGTAATAACAATGTAGAGTTCAGTAAAATGAAAAACTGGTTTTCAACGAAAAGGGAGATGTCTGGGGACGAGGTGAGCGTTGAATTGGCCCCGGCGTGCATCCTGTCCCTGGTTTGCTTCCTTGTCTCCCTCGCCCAACCCCCAGCTCCACGCTGGAAAGGATTGTATTTCTTCTCTGCCGCAGAGCCTTCTAGCCTGGTTCTTGGCACAGAGAAGATGCTAGGCTGGTGTTTGGAAAGACGCCAGGGGGAGGTGAGGAGAGCACGGAGAAGCAGCGTGGAGGGTCTTGAGCAGGCGTGGCGGGAGGATGGTCAGCCTTGCCTGATGCCTCGTGGCTGTGCAGCGTGCCTTTTTTGTAATTCGCCGGGGTGCGTCGTCGAGGGCTGAGTCTGGATGTGGAACGGGATGGGCAAGAGCTGGGGGGAGTGCAGGGAAGCTGGGCACCGTCTGCACCTCCGGCCACGGCTGCCTCTCCTGGCATCTGAGGCTGCAGGAGCCGCCTGTGCTCAGCCCACCCTGATGGCTTCCTTCCATACCGCTCTGGAAAGGAACGAGGCCTCCTTCAGACGGCTTTTGCTCACCCGGACCTGGCCTGCTGCTCCGCTCTTAGTTCTCACCATCCCGAAGGCTGGTCGTCGCCTCTTTCAGTTCTTGCCAGAGTCAGCAAACATCCTGTGTGTATGAATAGAAGGTTCCAGTCCAGTTGATGATAGTTAACTCCAGGTGGTCGTGAATTGACTGCAGATTCACCGTAAGTTATTTGAGCCCCTGATTGCTACTTTTTTTCTGTGATCAGATACCATAGGTTTTCCCTTTTGAAACTTGGGTTTTTTGGCTGAAACTTGGGTTTTTTGGCCCGTTATCCCAGCACTTTGGGAGGCCGAGGCGAGAGGATTGCCTAAGCCCAGGGGTTCGAGACCAGCTTGGGCAACTTGGCGAGGCCTCGTCTCTACAATAAATCAAAAATAGCCAGGCGTGGTAGCACCTGGAGTTCCGGCTACTTGGAAGGATCTCCAGAGCCCAGCAGGTCAAGGCTGCGGGCCCCTCCAGCCTGGGCAATGGAGTGAGACTCCAACTCAAAAAGAAGTTTTAGTTTTTGAATTTAGAGATTCGGGAATTCATAAGCTAGACTTGATTTTCAGAAAATGCATAGTTCTTTATGACGACAAGAAGAAATCTCAGTTTTCTCTGAGATTCTTTTTTTGAATCTGGATTTATCTAGGGTTTTTTGAGATCAATTTTGTTTTGATTTTTTAATTTCATGGATTTTTGATCATTACGTAATTAGAAGAATTTCACAATGAGCCTGTTGCCTCCCTGCACTGAGGAAAGTCATGTTTGCTTTCTAATAATGAATGTTTCTGGGACTTCACTGATACTTAGTTGGTGGGATACGGTTATAAAATTCTATAGGAAAGTGGTTCTCGAGGTTTCCACATTTACCAAAAAAACCTCCCAGAACCCACACAAGACTCGTTCTTTAATTTACTCAAGCGACAGACCATGCTTAGCTTCACAGGCCCCTCGAAATAGCTCTGTGGCACCAGAAATGTATGGTCCCTGTCTGAAATAGCTCAGTATTTCCAAAAACTGTAGCAGGAAATGAAAAAGGACTACTGTCCCTTTTAAAAATAACTGAAATTTTTTTTTTAATTGGCTGTGTATTTTCAACTCTGGTTTAAGTGTACATTTGATATCCTGATGAAAACAAGTTGTCACCCCCAACTTTGAAATATTTAGGTTGAAGGAAAAAATGGCACTTAGATTGTTGGACTCAAGGCTGGTTGTAGGATTAAGGAGAATTATTTCAACACTGCGGAGTCATACAAAGATAGAATGAATTCAGACTTTGATGAGTACTCTGACTTGAAGCTAGAAAAGCCGACTGTGTCCCCGTGTCCTTGGCCTTGTGCTGGAGCAGTGCTGGCTGGCGTTGGTCGAGAAAGGCCTGGGCGTCACTTTTTTCTTTTTGGCTGTTTGCATCGATCAGCCTAAACACCCCAGGTAGCGCCTTCTTCAGTGAGATGTTATGTGGATGGTCGCTATGGTAACCACGGGACACGGGAGGTCTCATGCTGCCTGCTTCCACAGCGTCCCTCAGGGAGCTGTGTGGTGCAGCTCTGTAGGGGGGCTGCATTCAAGAAACTAAAAAAAAAAGCTTCAAGCACTTCTGCATAGCAGTCTCTGTGCTAAGTGCTCGACACAGCTTCTCTCAGTTCATTCTCCCAAGCCCTTGTGCTGATCTGTATATGAGAAGGGACGGTGAACCTCAGAGAGGTTCGGTGACTTGCCTGAGTACCCCATCAAGCAGCTGGCCGGGCTGACCCGGAGCTGGGAACCCCCTGTGCCTGGAATCGCCACCAGCAGGCTTGGTGAAGAGAACAGCCCAGCAGATGTAAGTCTGACTTTAGCAGGGATAATTAGGCTCAAGGAAGAGTCATCCCACCACACAGGCATGGGAGCGGTTCAGACTGTTAGCAGAAACTTCCGTCGTCTCCTGTCTTCTTCCACATGGGCTGAAGGCCGCGGTCACGGAAGGGAGGGTTCTCAGATGCCATCATTACAGCCCGTCTCTCCCTTTTCCTGTAATTGTATTAGTTGAAACCGGGAGTTCAGAAAGAGACAGTCTTACATCTCTGATTGAGATCGTAGGTGATCATAACAGGTTTAGACAGTGACTTGACAAGTATTTACTGACTTAATTCATAGCATAGAGATTAGTTTCAAAGATGTGTAAAAGGAACCGGCTCAGCACAACCACAAGTGCCACTTGAACAATTTGTAAATGAAAAAATAAACTTTTTTTTTTTTTTAATTTTAAATCGGAGATGCGGTCTCACTGTGTTGCTCAGGCTAGTGTCGAACTCCTGGGCTCAAGCAATCCTCCTACCTCAGCCTCCCAAAGTGCTGGGAGTACAGATGTGAGCCACCTTGCCCGACCTGTAAGGAAAAAAACCTTTGAATCTGAGTATATCGATTTATCTGGGCTGCAGTCACAGAGGACCAGAAACAGTGTCTTAAACAACAGAAATGTATTGGCTCACAGTGCTGGAGGCTGGAGTCGAGGTGGAAGTGTCAGCAGGGTTGCTCTCTTCAGAGGACCAAGAGAGCGTCTGTGCCAGGCCTCTCCTCTGGCTTCCAGGGGTTGCTGGCGATTCGCAGGGTCTTCTCCCTGTGTGTGTATCTATCTCCGTATTTTCTTTGTAAAACACTGTAGCCATAATGGACAAATAAGCCAACCTTAGTGACTTATTTTAACTGAATTCCCTCTGTAAAGATCCTTTCTTGGCTAAGTGTGATGGCTCATGCCTATAATCCCAGTGCTTTGAGAGGCCCAGGTGAGAGGATTGCTTGAGCCCAGGAGTTTGAGACCGGGCTGGTCAACATAGAGCTCATCTCTACCACCCACCCCCGCCCCCCCAGAAAAAAAAAAAATCAAAAAATAAACCGCGTGGTGGCGTGTGCCTGTAGTCCCAGCTACTTGGGAGTCTGAGAGGGAAGGATCACCTGAGCCCAGGAGTTGGAGGCTGTGGTGAGTTGTGATTGTGCCACTGCACTCCAGGCTGCGTGACAGAGTGAGACCTTGACTCCAAAAAAAGGAGAGGGGGGAGAGGGAGGTACCGCTTTTCCAAATAAGATCGCGTTCTGAGGAACTGGGGTTCAGGACTTCATCACATGAATTTGGGGGCACAGGCCAGCCCCAACACTGAGCACAGACCCCTGTGTGTCACATGCACCCTTTCCCTGGCGGCTCGGCCCTCCCACCTGCACTGGCTGGGGCGTTAGAGACAGAATATCCAGGGTACTGAATGAGCTCCACTTAGTGGGTGCAGTTCCTGTCCAGAAGAAGACCCACGTGATGGAACTCCACAGCAATTTGAACATGGCAGTTTTGCCCGGCCAGTCCAGCCTGCTCCAGGCTGGAAGCCCGCACGGGAAGGCTGGTGTGGCTGCTGGCTTCCTCGTCCCACCCCTTCTCCCTCGCACATCTGCTGCCCTGACCCTGACAGTCAGGCCTGGAGAGGCTTGAGGACAGAAGCCCCTTGGCGGCTGGCTGGGATGTCGTCACCGCTGCCGTGTGGGGGCAGGTGTGTGGCTTTTGTCGTAGGTTCCTGGGCGATCGTCCTGCAGAGCCTCCCCTTGGGCTCTCAGGGTGTGGGGGCCTCTCCTCCCGCTGGCCGTTGCCACTGGCACGCCACCCCTCCGCTGGTTATGTCCACCCTCTAGGAGGTGCTGTCTTGGGAAGCTTCTGTTACGCGCCCCGTGCCAGCTGTGACAGGGTCGGCTGCTGGGTAGACACAGCAGTGACTCACCCCTAGACTCTTCCGACTCGGAATCAGACCCTCCTCTGTGTCCGCCGAGGTCCGGGAGATGCTCATCCAGGTCTCCAGGGAGTTCTTGAAACCTTCCCAGCTGGGTGTGAGGTCAGGAGCTGCGTTCTCCTCTTTCCCCCGAGACAGGTGGGAGTGAACACACTGCGCCGACACCCTCAGCTGCACTGCACACCGTGCGTCTCAGCGGGTCAGAGGCGGGAGGGACCGACCGGCTGAGACAGGCGGGTGGGGCTTGACCCTTCGAAAGCCCCGTGCAGATGGTCTGCTCTGCTGGCATCTCTCTGCAGCTGCTGACTGTGCTACTCCTGGGAGTCACCAGTCGTATGGGAACAGTTAAAGGAAGGGGAAGAAGACCGGTCATGGGATGGCGTCACTTGCAGAGGAAAGCTCATAACCGTTGATTTACGTCACTTACAAGAGAGGGGGCTGGGTCGCTGCATATGAATTCTGAGCCCATTCGGGCGTTGCAGTTTACACATTTAAACATCAGGAAGCACAGTTTAGTATAAAACCGTTTGTCGATTGGCAGACATCTTCCGCTGCTTAGTTGTTTATCACGTTTGGATTGACTCAGTGCAGAACTGACCTCACAGCTTCCCGGTTTTGCCCATGTGACTTTGTGCAGGATCTCTGAAGGGTGCTTAATTACCGCACTCTGTAGAGCTTTATTAGAGAGGGTGGGGTGGGGGGAGTGTGTTTGTGTGAGTCCAAAAGCAGCTCTGTGCTCCTCGTTCTACTCTGCAGTGACCATTCTGTTCCAAAGATATAATACACACTCCAGCCTGGGTGACAGAGTGAGACCTTGTCTCAGAAAAAATGAAAGAAAGATAAGATATACCTACTGGGTCTCTGCTACATTTAATTCCATTACAAAAGAATCCACTCAGCAGTTTAAAATAAAAGTGATAATGTCGAAGCGTGTTACTTCCATCTCTTTATAGGACATTCAGAGTTGAATAACAAGAGATCAGTTTAAGTTCATAGTGTTTGTATTATATACTGGGATAATTATAATTTATTTGTCTGTGTAATGTAATTCTCTTGTCCTTTCTTTTTTTAAAAAAGTAGGTAATACTCAGTGGAAGAGACCAGAGTAGAGACCCTCTTTAAGTAGGAAAAAGCTGACAGGCAGATAAGCAGTGTTATTCAAGCCTGTTTTGACAAGTAATCAAAACAAATATTGAACTCTTTCTTTTTTTTTTTTTGAGTTGGAGTCTCACTCTGTCGCCCGTACTGGAGTGCAGTGGCCGCTTCCGGCCCCCCCAACT